AAATCTATAAATACTAAATGTAAGCACGTTTATTAGTTATTAGCTTTTTTAAGTCGTAAGTTGACTATCAAATAAATAATATATTTCAGTTAAAAGTATGAATTATCTTGAGTGTATTCTGAATATTTCTAAGATTATAAAAATACTGGAATTGTTTGTAGTGCTTTTTTTTGCAAATTGTTCATAATAACTGTCATGATGGATACAGAGCCAGCTTTGTTTGTTGGCTCTATTCTGTTTTATGCCATATTTTTATTTTGAAACGTTTCCTTCTATTCTATTTTTTTATAATGTTTTATATTTAAAAAATGAGTGGCATTTTTATAAGGTGTAAGACTATTCGGCAATATTCCGCATGGAAATTAGTATCCATTCAATGCTGAAAGTCTCCAGCATTGGAATATGCACAAAAATCTTGCCAATATTTGCCACTGCCAAAAAAAAACATTGATTTAAATAGATTCTTAAAGGAAATAGTCTTTACCCTATTAACACCCATCCTCGCTCAAATATCGTCTATAATATACAAATTACTTTCTTGTTCTAGCATCCTCATCCAATTGCTTGGTTTTGCACAGAATGGCCCTATTTGATCGGTGGAAAGGGTTTCAGAGTAGAGGAAAAAATATTGTGTAGGAAAAACAAAATGGGGTTCCATATTAGCAACCTCTCCTCTAATTAATAATTAATATTACTAGCAAAAAAGCAAAAAAATCATAAAACATAATTTTGGCCAACTTTTAGTTCTTAATACCCCCTGTGCGCCGTCGGCGCGTGCAAAAGCAGAAATAAATAAATTTTCGTTCCGGTAAAAGCGAGAACGCCGATGAACGCTGGTTGACGGTGCCTGCCTGCTTTCACTGTGAACTAGCCGATTTGATAACACGCTTTAATTTTTCAAGGTTATAAGCGCGAGGCGGCGCGGCGCGGCGCTACTATGTAACCATATACAGGGTGTCCCAGAAATAAGTGCAAGTATTTTAACTTAACTGGTAGTATAGTTCAATCCCAGAAACACGCCTATGAGGTTTTTTTCTAAATAATTTTTTTTGAAAATTCGGAATTTTTTGAAAATATTTTTGGAATTTTTTGGATTTTTTTTAGTTTTTATTTAAAAAAAATAATTTCTTGATAATATGGCAACATAGGTAGTAGATTAAATTTACAAGAAAGAAAATCCAGAAAAGATCCAGTGGTTCTCAAACAAATCTCGAAGTATTGGAAAGAATGTGTAAGGACCAAGAACTATTGACTACGATAAAACGACGGAAAGCAGCATATTTTGGTCATATTTTTCGAAATAACAAATATAGGTTCTTACAGCTGATCGTTGAGGGAAAGATTGAAGGACGACGAGGCATCGGGCGTAAACGGTTTTCCTGGTTGCGGAATTTGCGCCAGTGGTTTAATATAGGAGAGGCCAGTGCAATTATCCGTTTGGCTTAAGACAGGGAGGAATTCCAATTGATAGTCGCCAACCTCCGATAAGGAGAAGGCACATCAAGAAGAAGAAGGTTCTCAAAATTTTAGTAAAAAATATTTTTATTTGGAAATTTTCAAAGTAAAATAACTCCATTGTTTTGGACTTGCACTTATTTCTGGGATACCCTGTTTATAACAATACACGTGATGCGTATACGCAAAGTTGCGAACGATGTCAAGAATAGGTGCCCAGATTGGCGCTGACTACCAGTAAGCGGCAAACCTGCTTGCACTGTGTTCGCACACTAATACCCGAAAACGCAGCAGTTATATTGTGCCTAAACACCGGACAGCCTTGTTTGAAAAATCGTTTTCGTATTATGCTTTAAAATGCTACAATTCACTTCCTCCGTACCTTAAAAGCTGTCCGTCGATTGCAGGTTTCAGGAAATCTCTTGTTGATTTCAATTTAACTTTATAAAAGTATTATTGAATTGTACCTTAAGCTTTTTTTGTTCGTTTATATAATTTAAATTTATATTATATTAAAATTGTTATATTGTTGTATTACTATTGTATGTGTATTTTGTATTTTTTTAAGGTGGTTAGAATGAGTAGCGTATGCTAGATCTCGCCACCTACATAAATAAAGTCAAATTATTATTATTATTATAAATTGACGTATCTAAATTCTTTGACATCTAATCTTTGACCAGTAGTAAATAGAAACAAAAATGCAAGAAAAAAATTATAATTAGTTAATTTTAAGCGAATTTTTTAAATGATCGGTTTACTAGGTATGTATATTATACAGCGAGTTATACAGTCATTTAATAGTGAAAAGTTATTCCATTATTTCCCTCAATTTTTGACACAACCAACTATTTTACAGTATTTTTCGATAAATAGCAATAGTGTTACTGTCAATTTAAGTTCTGCCACAAAAGAAATGTGTTCTAGGTTTACTACCTCTAAACGACTAGCAGTTGTAGAATCGATAATAAATAACAACCAAACCAAAATCATGAGCACTCCCCCGGAAGATCATAACAATGCTGTAAAAATCGGAGAGGAACTGTTGGAATATGTAGCGGGATTTAATTACCTCGGCAGTTTGATTTCGGAAAAGGCCAATATCGACTCTGAAATTCAGCACAGGATTAGCAGCGCCTCAAGAGCATTCTGGAAATTAAAAAACAGGGTTTTCTACAATCATGACTTGAGCACAAAAACGAAACTGGCAGTGTACCGAGCAATTATAATCCCCACCATGTTATATGGGAGCGAAACCTGGGCGCCGCACCGCCGACACATGAAGGCATTAAACAAGTTGCAACAGAGACACCTTAGACAACTCTTAAGAATCCGGTGGTTCCATTATGTCTCAAACGTATCGGTCCTTGAAAAAGCTAACTGCGAGAGTATTGAAATCATGGTTAGAAAATCCCGCTTAAGATGGGCTGGTAACGTGTGCAGAATGCAAGAAAACCGCATACCAAAATCTCCGCTTTATGGTGAGCTCGTAGACGGTAAGAGGAGGCCGGGTGGACAATTCAAAAGGTACAAGGACATTTTCCACGAAAACTTAAAGGGGATTAACATGCAGAATCATTGGGAAGAAGCAGTTCACAATCAGGCGCGTGGCAAACGCACCAGCGGACCCCGCGTGGCGGGGGGGGGGCGTATAGATTGGGGGTCCCCGCACACCTCGTCCTTCAAAAACAATTATCAAACAAACCGAAAACTGAAATTACATTTAGGCACACAATCCTTTTTTCAGCAATAATTAGGCAGATATAAAACAATTATTTGGCACTACATTATTCTCTATAGGTTTAATAATAATAATTATTGTACGGTTTAATTTGGAATTTGGTTTAGTTGTGAATATGTTTAGGCGATACAACACACAGCGATTATCATGTTTTCACGGCGTTTTTGATTAAAAGTATCATATCGATAGACTTTTTCCATAAGCACACTTATTTTAAATGTTCAGAGTCTTTATATATTTTTCAGTGAAAGTCTACCCCGTTGGCAAAGCCTAAACTGCGAAATAAAAAATAGTAAAACTGTTGGTTTAACTTTAAAAAAATTATGTCCCACTAGATGGTCGTCAAGAGCCGAAGCCATACTATCGATAAAAACTAATTTTTTGTCCGTCGTTAAGTGTCTATGAAAATAGAAAATTTCGAATTTATTTTCTTACTAAATTTCCAAGGTACAATATTGGAAAATACTAACTTGCTTTCAAAATGCTTACGAAAAATGATATTGACATAGGACTGGCCACAGATCTAATATTAGGAGTTCTTGTTAAAATAGAAAATCTTAGGGACAATTTTGAAAGTGTGTATGAGCTATCAATTTCAATTGCGAAATCTTGGAATATTGAACCTCAGTTAAAAAACAAAAGAGTTCGTAGAGTCAAAACTTTTTTTGATGAAATAGCAGCTCATAAGCCCATTGAAAATCCTAAAAATCGTTTAAAAGTCACAGTTTTTTATGCTTGTTTGGATATAGTAATAACTCAGTTTAGAATCAGGTATGACGTATGATTTCAAAATATTTGTTCAAAATTTGAAATTTTAAACCCACAATCATTGTTAAAATCCCAGGAATCTGATATTTTAGCTAATGCCAAAGTATTAGTAGCCAAATATACTAACGACCTAACACAAAATCTAGCATCGGAGCTAATTCAAGCAAAAAATTTACTTTATGAAAAAATCAAAAATATTCACAGTATTAGAGAGTTCTCTGATTTTATTTTTGAAAAAAAAAACAATTACTGATTAGCAGTATAGCTGAGATTTGCACTGTATTCCAGTTGTTTCTGGTTCTCCCTATACCAACCGCTGAACCAGAAAGAACTTTTTCTAAGCTGAAAATAATAAAAAGTTTTGCCAGGTCTACTATGTCCCAAAATCGCCTAAGCTCACTGACCATAATATCAGTTCAGAATTATCGAGCAAAAGAGGTAGATTTGGACAGCGTAAACAAGTTCCTTTTGTTAAAGTCCAGGAAAAAGGAATAGACTTTCTAATATACCATAGGGTACTTCATAAATATTTAAAATTTCTTGTTCACATTTGTGTTTTAGATATTAGTAGTTAAATGTTGAGTTTTTTTTCTAATAAAACTTTGATTAATTAGAAGCATAAATGTTTGTTTTCTAGTTTAAGTATTTTAAGAATACTATACTAATAACTATAAATAAATGTTGAAACAATTATCAAAATATAAAAAAATATCACATTGTGGCTCTTGTTAAAAAATATGTTTCAAGCAGATATCACAATAATGATGTATTTGAAGGAATTTTTGAGTATACTCAGGGGGGCCCCTAACAAAGTTTGCAGGGGGCCCGCGGGAATTTGCCACACGCTACTATTCACAATAGAACTCAATGGAGAAGAATTGTAAACTCAGTTAACAGCGACAACCAAAAAGTAAAGAGGCAACAAAGCAACGAGATTTTTGAATGTCCGGAGTGCGGTAGGAAAATAACATCACGTATCGGGCTTTTCAGTCACAGAAAAGCCCATGAAAGAAAACGCCTTGCGTGACCATCTTTTGATGTGTGTCGAATACTCGTCAGCGAGTAATGGGAGTATAATAAATAACATAAAATAAGCTCAGCAAAGACTGACAAATCCACACAATTTCAAATCAAATTCAAATGTGTCAAATGAATGATAGCATTATAATACTCCTTCCTTAACCTTTTTTCTCAAAGCTTAAAATAATCATATTACCTGACAATGCTTAATTTTTGTGACCGCGAGAGAACTTAAATCATCAACTAAAATCAGAAGAATTGGGTTTATTCGGATTTTTTCTTAATCGTTGACTTCTTTTTGAACAATTTTGATACAAATTTGAACAAAAATTTAAGTATAAAGTAAAAAATAAAGACAGTGGCGAGAACAATTGCCAGTATCAACGCGAAAACATCCAGCATTAAATATTTCCACCATGGAAGATCTACGGCTGTACTGCGAAGATGTTTAGCCCCTCTATGCCTTATTACATATTCTATCCACCATACGGCTTTCTCGAGCCCGTCTTGAGGTTGATCTTTCATTAGTGCATCAAATTTTGCAGCATTTTCTGCATAGCTAAAAATAGAAAATATGTTAATACACTGACCGGCACGAAAAACGGGCACCTAAAAATTTTCATATACAGAGTGGCGCCTCTCGTACGCCGCGGAGGATCCACGGAGAATGACAGTTTGTATTGAAATGAAATTTTGTGAGCATATTGTTGCGGACCCGTACCGTGTGAACTCGGCCTTAGGCTTGGCCACTCGGCTATGACTCATACGCCGGTGACGCCCACCTTCTAGAACGGCTAAGAATTGACTAGACAAATCTGGATTGTCTGTTTCTCTCCTATATAAGCCGGCGCCTGAAGCCTGAAGGGGATAGAGAGAAAAACAACCAGTCGACGCAGTAAAGTTACAATCGCCGCGCTAATTCAAAATAAATTCCTGTTAGATAAATAGTTAGGTAAATTGTAAATAAGTTCTTTAAGTTTTTTTAATCGTTATTGTTTGTTAATTAGTGTTAAATAAATTGTGTTTAAATAAATTTTGACTTTCTATCCACACGGAACCGACGAATAACGTAACAATATGTAAGTAAATTCAGAGCACTTTTTAAAAATATAGAGTGTTCTACAAGGTGTCCTCCAAAAAAGTTACATATCAAAGTTGTGTTTTTTGTAATGGAACACCCTATATATTAATTAATTTTCGGATTCTGTGAGAAAAATAAAGGTCAGTTTTATAAGAGAAGTATATGATTAAAATTTAAGGCTTTTGGCATATTTAATATTTTCTGGAAATAAAGAAAAAATTTTAAATTACAATAAAAGCTACCTAAATTGGAATTTACGCGGTATAGCCTAATATGTAGTTAAATTAACTATTGTACTTTAAATCAAATTAAAACTTGATCCAAAAAGTTATACAGGGTGAGACAAAATTAATATTGAACATTGGTCACCTTTAAAAGCATGTGACTCTTTTATTTTAAATGTAACACCCAGTATATTATTCCGACATTCAATGGAGAATTCACGTCTCTTCAAAATACCTACTATTAAGGTTGCCTACCCCTCAAACAAAGATTTTCCTAGATATTTTCATTTGCATGATTTGATCTGAGTAGATGTTTATTATTTGATGAAATCTAGGTGGCTGTGATATGTCTGACGTTACTTTAACATAGCTGTCTAATTAGTCCACCTTTAACAACTAGTTATCATTTTGTGTCAGTTAAAACAAAAAAATTTCTCAGAAATTTTCCGAAAATGCAAACTTATTCTACATCAGAGAGAATTGATATGATTCTACTTGTTGGTGAATGCAGCCTGCATTCACCAATTAATAGAATACTTAAATGCTCCTGATTTTATCTAGTCTGTTTTTTATGGGGTTATGGGTTATGTTAAAGACAGTGTTTATAAATCTCGACTAACTATTGTCGACAACATGAAAGAAATTATTGTAGCTGCTTTTCGAGATAGAACTCCACATATGCCTTTTATCATTTCATCTAGCTAATCTTGATCACATACTTATAGGTTTATATCTAGTTTTAAGTTTGTAATAATTAAAATATGTTTTAAATGCGTATCTTTTTATAACCGTTGAGTATTTTACTCTACAATCTTTAATTTTTGTTAAATTAACAAAAGGTATATCACACAGCCACCTAGATTTTTTCAAATAATAAAGATCTACTGACGCAAAATCATAAAAATTAAAATATCTAGGAAAATCTTTGTCTGAGGGATAGGCAACCTTAATAATATTTTCAAGATATATAAATTCCCCATTCGGAAAAATATACTGGGTATCACCGGAAAAATATACTGGGTATTCCATTTAAAATAAAGGAGTAACTTTAAGAATGTCAATTATAAACTTGTGTATAGTGCTAATAATAAATTACAACAATTATTAGGTAATCCAAAAGATAAAACACCTCCACTGGAAAGGTCGGGTATTTATGAAATTTCTTGTAAAGATTGTAATCAGAAATATGTTGGGCAAACTAGAAAATCAATATTAACTAGATTTAAAGAACATTTATCGATTTTATATATAATTTTAGAATATGTGAAATATGTCAAAATCCTTAGATTTTAGGTATATGCTTCTTCAATAAAATTCACCTTTATTTTTTTCCTAGAATCTGAAAATCAATTAATATATAGGGTGTTCCATTAGAAAAAAACACAACTTTGTTATGTAATTCTTTTTGGGGACACCGTGTATAATTCTATATATTTTCTATATAAACATTTCGATATAAACTACCGTTCTCCTTGGATCTTCCGCGGCGTATGAGAGGCGCCACCATGTATTTTAAAGTTTAATATATTTTGTTTTCTTGTTCCGATTTAGATGACTTTTTAAGCAATTTTTTTTAATTTTTAGTGCCTTTTTCCTAAATTAAAATTAAAAGTTCCTATCTGTCAATTTTACGAGGGAGCACAAAATAGAATATTTTTTAGACACTCTGTATAAGGTAGCATTAGTTCTATTATGGCAATACAATGTTTAATAAAAAAAATAGAAAAAAATCAGTTCAACATTTGGTGTTAAACACTTAAATAAACCTCGAGAAATAAGGCATTAAATTTGTTACTGCAAATATTACTGCTTTTATATTTTTTTATTTATTTGGGACATTCTGTACTTTTAAAAATAATTTTTAAATTGTAGCTTTACTAGTAATTCAAAGACCCCATCACTTACAATTTCTAAAAATTTAATCATTTGACTACAACACTCCGTGTCGAATATCGTGAACAGCCCTGTATATTTAAATTACCTAATATTATTGATTACTTCCAAGATATAACTTCTTAGAGTTTCGACAGTTAAATCCTTCACATCAAGCATTTTACCCATACCAAAATGCACGCACGTGTCTACATTGGTAGTCTGGTCAGAATGGAATGGTATTCCAATAATGGGTTTGTGAGCTGCTATGGCTTCTTCTGTTGACTGTAAACCACCTTGACTGATAAATAATTTAACATTCGGATGATCTAAAATGAATAAAAAAATTGTTAAACTGTAAATAAGAAATTTTATTATAATTAAATGAAAAAGTTTCTGAAATAGACAGTTTTTTAGAGTATTAAATGGTACCACCATGTCTCAACGTATCGGTCCTTAAAAAAGCTAGCTGCGAGAGGGCTGAAGTCACGATTACTATATCTTGCTCTAAGAAAACCGCCTAACAAAATCTCTTCTTTATAGTGTGTTTGTAGACGGTAAGAGGAAACCGGGTGGACAACTCAAAAGGTACAAGGATATTTTCCATGAAAACTTAAAGAGGATAATTAAGATTTATATAATAGATTAATAAGATTTATATAATATAATTAGTGGGAGGAAGCAGCGGCACAATAGAATGCAATGGAGAAGAATTGTAAACTCAATAATTAATAACGACAACCAAAAAGTAAAGAAGCAACAATGTAATGAGATTTTTGAATGTCCGGGAGGCATTTAAGCAATATGTACCATTATTTAGTCCATAATATGATTATTGTCACTGCCCGCATTGGTCGAAACTAAACGCTGGTGCGTTTTGCCAAACATGACTAAAATGCGGTACATTTTGCCACGTTAGCGGGAGGAATTCCAAACGCAGGTACCTACATGTTGCCAAACTTTACTAAGAAGTGATGCAATATACTTGAGATCGAATGGCATTAACCTTTTCAATTGCCCTGATAAAAATAAAAAAGAATTGATGGATTGGTATGACAACTTCGCCAAAAACACGGCACCATTATACGCTTCTTTCAAGTAGTTTTTATTAGACAGACGTTGTTTTTGTGTATACTTTAGCATTTTTAATTGATATCTACCATGACATCTGAAGGTTTGACGTATATTTTACCGGATCAATTTCGATACAGTGTAAAAAAGTTTTGGATAAAGGTAGCATTATTTAGACTGAACTAAACACAGCAAAAGATGGCGACGTGACGCATGGATTTCAGAATTTTCGCGACTAAATTCAGTTGCCTGGATTGTACGGCGAATGTTTACTTTGTTCTTTCCGTATTGGACAGGCTGTATGGAGGTGGCATTGGGACAAAAATCACGCAGTTTTCAATGAAGACCGACCATTATTATATAAATCTTTCAAAACTAGTTTAATCGCTTCATCCTTGCCAGGTGCAGAAAAAGCTTTTGAAGAAGCAATCTTAAAGAATTGGAAAAAAAATAACCTTCGTGGATATAACTTAGTGGATAACTTATATTCGTAAATTATTGGGATCGTAGGGAATGTTGGTGTCTGTGTTACAGAGACGTCCTAAAAGGACGATCAAATATTAAATAGAATAATTTTGTGGTCGTTCCTAAAAATCAAAGATTTTAATAATGGCGTTTATAACATGTTAGTGTAATCTGCATTGTCCATAAAACATTTGCATGATGCTGGAAAGAATATGGCAGAACGTACCACGTTTTAGTCACGGTTGGCAAAACGCACCACCGTTTAGTCTCACCCAACTAAAGCAAGGAAAATCACATTATGGACTATATAATGGTACATTTTGCTTAAATGCGTCCGGGAGTGCAGAACACGCCTTGCGTAACCATCTTCTGATGCGTGTCAAACACTTGTCAGAGAGTAATGCCAGTAAGTGAGTTTTTAGAGTAGGTATTTAAATTCTCACGAATTGACAATAATATTCACTTTGGAAGTAGAGAGAGGTAATAGGTAGTCATTTATAGATGTCTTAGTGTCAAATTTTCAAAATAAACTTAATTTATCTACCGTCAGTGAGTTAAGAAGCTCTAAACTCAAGCATTTTGAGTGAGTTAAGAGCTTCTTAACTCACGCATTTTCATTATCGCACCCCTTGTTTAGATGACTACCAAAGAGAAAAAAAATATTTTGCGAAACATTTATTTTGCACTAAATTGTAAAAATGCGTTATTATAAGTTGTGTACTTTTTTTCGGTGCACCATTTTTCATACTTAGAGTACGTATATTCATACTTCTGTTCCAGAAATGGTCCTGAATACCTCTTCTTCAATGTCAGAGGGAATACTTTCCGAATCGCTCATTTTTGAAACTAGTGACATCAATATTATTTACTGTCATATTGACATTGCCATGCATGGTGTTATTTGAACAAAGGTATTAAGGTAATTGATTTTTAGGATAGGTATATAGTTAAGTACAATAATTTTTAAAATTTATTGTGTGTTTTTATAGTTAGACGTAGATAAAATATTTTACAATATAGGAAGAAACACATACTGCATTATACATAATAAAAAGAATGGGATGCCAATTCAAGTCTTTTTGAATCTGGCAACTGTGCATATTTAGCCGAGCTATAAGGCCGTCGACGAGCCGTCGATCCAAAACCGAAAGTTCAAAATTTCTAATTATATTCTGATTATGACATTGTCGCGCCATCTAGTATTCTATTTGTGCAATTTTAACTCTTTCATTTCGAGTATTTTTCTGTTGCGTAGCTAGATATTCTGTGCTAATAGGATTGCTCAGCCTCACAAGACGTACGTTCGCCTCTTCCCGCGCTTCAGCTGACAGTACGTTCGCCTCTTCCCGCGCTTCAGCTGACAGTTGTGACGTCATTGTAGTCCTTGTCATGATAGTGTGTATTATTAGTTGCCTATGGTAAACTTATAAAAATAACAGCTCAGAAATTTTGAGTTAATTATTTTGTCAATTTTAAATGTGAAAAAGGTGTTTTTAAAGTTTTTAGAGCTATAGAGTGTATAAATACGTTCACTTTGTGTTGTGGGTTGTGACAAAGTGCTTACTAAGTGCCTCCGATATTGTTTATTAAATATTTTAAAGCAAATATATATGGAAGTACTCTAAAAAGAATGCCTGCAAAAGATGATGCTGGGAACTGCTGTTTTTAAAAATGCATTATCCGAGTATTTAATACGATTTATACAGTTAATTTTCTATACTGCATACATATAAGATGTTTAAATAAATAAACTAAATAATGAACGTTTTGCATCCGGCAACCAATAATGCACGTGTGTGTATTATTGGTTGCCGGATAGGGACTAATAACAATGACAAGGACTACAATGACGTCACAAAGCGAGGAGTTTTCGCATGCACCTGGCAGACACTTTTGGCTAAATGAGCAGTCCTATTAGGTTAACTATTCTTGGGATTAACCGTTTTAGAACAAGCGAAATTGTTTATGAACATTTTTGCTTGTTTATTGTAAAATTATTATATATGTTTATTGGAAATATATTATTATATTGTTTATTGCAAAAATGTTTAGGAACATTTTTGCTTGTTATTAACATTTTTCTCAAAATGTTAATAATAAAAAAACCTCTTGTAAAGACAATCCGGACACATAATGTATATTATGATATGATGTCGACAAGGCCAATTGTTATTCAATTATTTCACAAACGGTAGAAATAACTTTAACACTGAGTGTAGAAAAACATAAAGAGTAGCCTGCTACAGCTGTTATCAGGACAATAGACGTAACATTAATCCTCTTTCCTGCGTATAATATTTGTTTAAACATTTGTTAACCTGCATAAATATACGCCTGTTTCCATTCATAGATTAATTAATTACTGGTTAATTAATTCAAACATACTATTATATAGGTAATCGAAAATACTATTAGGTATCTCCAAAAAAATCCTATATGGGTATTTCGCCACTGCAAGAAAATCTACAAACACTGCTGCGTTAATCCAAACGGAAACTACTTGTCAGCAGTTAGGTTTACAGATAAACAAATTTGCCTAACGAACAAAAAAATGCTTAACGTTTCGGAAAGTTTTTCTCTTTCCGTCGTCGGAAGCAAAAAAATACAAAGAATATAGAAAAAAACTATTTAAAATATTTAAATGCAAATATTCGAGAACACTTTAGTTTTTTTTTAAACAGATACGTCTACAAAAACCGTTGACGTTCTGTTAAAACGACATTATACCAAGTTAAACTTCAAAATTAACAATTACTACCTGATAACAATTACTTAATAAGGTAAAACCAAAAAGCCTCAAACTTTCTGTATGATTATTTTTAATTTGTTTTTAGTTTTTACGTAGGTATGTTTGTTTATTTATGTTAAGTTCTTTAAAATCAAAGAAGCGATTGCAATACATTACTAACATCTAGGTATAGATGCATGAGCAATACATTTATTTTTATTAGATTGTATTAAAAAAGCCTCTTTTATTTTTCTTTTAGAGGCTATCGCTTCTTTCATTATAATTTTATTTGTAAATCTAAAGCCCCATACCAACCCATACTCACACTTCGCTCCTTCCTCGCGTCCCTTCGTTCAAAAATCATATATTTACTATGGGAAAATGTAGATTTTATGCGATTGTGTGTTCCTTCCTCCTTCGTCAAAACGCTACTTCGTCCGTTTACTTCCTCGAAACGGTCCTTCTACGTACTGTCGGTTTTTAGAGGAAGAAGCAAAGGAATTATCACGAACACAAAAAAATATTAAAATATATAAAATATTTAAATCGATGTAGGATTTCATTCGTAGTTGATTTCTTGATTTGGCAGTACGTCTGTACAGGGTGTCCCATTTTCGTGTGTTTTGCAGGATTTCTCGTTTATGAGTCGAAATACAAAGATACGGTTTTCACAGTACGCTGTTACTTTTTTATGAAACTAAAGATGCTACATACAGATATGTCCTAGCTCTCTTACTTCCTAAAATACAGGGCGAATCTGAAATTATTGCATTTTTCGATCCCCTTTGTATCATAACTTATCGAAAAGGTGAAAACGGTCTCCTGCACAGAATGCAGTGACGTAACTCTGAGGTCTTTTTTAAATTGACTAAAACTTATATGTTTTTTTAAATACGATATTTTGTATATTATTTTATTTTCCTTGTTACGAGCTTTCTAAAATACTTATTTTCATAAACAGGGTAAAAATGCATTATTTAACTTTATTACATAGTCGGCCGGTTTAAATTAGGTAATCAAAACAATCAACTAATTTATTCGACGTAAAATGTTGGTTATTGGCATGTTATTTAAAAGCAGCACAAGTTCAGTTTCCGTGTAGTTTATCAAAATATCACGATGCAAAGCAAAATTATCTGGTAAAATTAAGTTAAATAAAATAAGAGCCGTTTAGCAGTTTAGCAGTACCTAAATAAATAAATATAGAGTATATTATAATTTTCGAAAGCTCTCGTTAATCAAAGATTAACAAGGCAAATAAAATAAAAAATAATATATAGAGTGCTCTGTTTAAAAAAAAGAACATAAGTTTGAGTCATTTTTCGAAATAGACAGCTCCCAACGAAGAACCACTTTCGTCACTGCCATTCTACCTGAAAAACGAGACACGGGTGGTGGGTAAGTACTCAATAGGTAGAACAAAACAAAAATCAGGGTATCCGATATATACCTGTACATTTAGATGGACAGTCTAATTTTATAAAAGGTATTTCCAACAACCGCATAGTAATTACCCGATATAATACCAGTAATGTCAGGAAATACGAGTATATCTATAATATTTCTTATATATATTGTAGATATTATATATTGGTATATTTCTATTCCCGGCATTATACCGGGTATTTACTATGCCGTCGTCGGAAACTCCTTTTATTAAAATTAGGATGTTCATCTAAATCTACAGGTATATACATATATACCCAGATTTTATTTATCTACAAATTGGGTACTTACTCACCGCCCATCACTGACCCTTTTCACCTTTTCGATAAGTTATAAGATAATCGAGATACAAAGGTTATCGAAAAATGCAAAAATTTCTACTAATTAAAAAATAAAAAGTAAAAGAAAGAAATAAGAAATAACTTTGAACTAAGAAGGCTAGGATAATTATGTATTTCAAAGTTATTTCTTATTTCTTATGTAGCATATTTAGTTTCATAATAAGTAGAACAATGATGTGAAAACAGCATCTTTATATCTCTACTCATAAACCAGAAACCCCATAAAACACACACAAATGGGACATCCTGTACATCTAGCCATCGCCAGTCGATATAAAAATAATTCACACACAAAAGTCTAAAAAATGGAAGAAAAAAACAATATTGTCTTCATATTTGTGAAAAAATGCATGTCCATATTTATGTAATCGTAGCGACCAAAATAAAAAAATAGAAATAATGTGCATGATGCCTTTACAAAAATATCTGAAGAAATGGGGATTGACATCATTAACGTTTAATTAGTATGTCATATTTCATGGTTTCGATATAAATTACATAATAAACTTTACTCTATTGTTGACTCGCCTTGTACATTCATACTGATATACCTTATACATGATACTGAAATATTCGGATTTATTTAAAAAAAAATATATTAAAACTCAATTTTTATTTTTGACACGACAAAGAATTGCAGTTTTATAAAATAAAAATTATGCGCCTTTCGGATTTTTTAAAAATTACTAAAAAGTTACTAGATATTTCGTATTAAACATGTAGCTGCAATATTAAAAATATTTTGTGGTGTGTAAAAATCTGAGTTGCATAACTGACTAATTTCCAAGCATCGAATAGACGAAGGAAGGAAGCGAAGGGACGAAGGAACGCGAGGAAGTAACGCGAGGAAGTAAGGCGAGGAAGGAGCGAAGTGTGAGTATGGGGCTTAACTGCTGACAAGTAGTTTCCGTTTGGATTAACGTAGCAGTGTTTATAAAAAATAACTTTTGTAGATTTTCTTGCAGTGGCGCAATACCCATATAGGATTTTTTTGATAGAGAATCCGCTACATAGGTATATTTTTTTACTGTTAGGTACTTCACCCACTGGGAAAATCAGTACAAAAAATCATCACTACCTCCTGGACTATTCAGCTTACTCTATGGATGCAATTGTCTAGCAACTGTTGATACAGGATATTCTATGAATTTTAATTCTGTTTTTAGACTTTGTGAAACTGATACGTATAAAGTATAATCGAAATCACTTATTTAACTCTCTTAAAATTAATATTACTTACTTAAAACCATTAACTGAGGAATCCATTTGGATACGAACACATTTTTGGGCTTATTTTCCATTGTTTCTTGATCCCATTTCCAAATAAATTCAAACGGTAGACTTGCAAACGCCTCTTGTATTATCGTAACATGAGATTGAAGCAGACTTGCTGGTACAGAACTACCTAAACTAAAAAATACTACACCCCTTTTGGAATCATCCAGAAATGACTTCAAAGCCTAGTAAATGAAAATCACTAATTAAAAAAATGTGTGATGGTAAAATGTACAGAGTGGAGCCTCTCATACGCCGCGGAAGCTCCAAGGAGAACGGTAGTTTATATCGAAATGAAATTTTGGCAGCATATGTAGGTTAACTGAAAGCATTTTATAAAAATATATAGAATTATACTGGGTGTCCCCAAAAAAAGTTACACATCAAAGTTGTGTTTTATCTAACGGAACACCCTATATATTAATTGATTTTTGGATTCTAGGAAAAAAATAAAGGTGAGTTTTATTAAAGAAGCATATACCTCAAATCTAAGGATTTTGACATATTCCACATTTTGTGAAAATGAAGAGTAAATTTTGAATTTCGATAACAGCAGCCTAAATTTTAGTTGACCTTGTATAGCCTGATATTTAATTACGTATTAAGTAACCATTGTATGTTAAACCAAATTGAAATTTGACCTACAAAGTTATACAGGGTGAGAGAAAATTAATATGGAACATTAGTCACTTTTAAAAGCAAGTTACTCCTTTATTTTAAACGGAACACCCAATATAGTTTTTCGGTATTCAATGGGGAATTTAAATATCTTCAAAATATTATTAAGGCTGCCTACCCCTCAGACAAAGATTTTCCCAGATATTTTAATTTTTATTTTTTTGCGTTAGTAGTGAATGAACACTGCATTCACCAACTAATAGAATCATATCAATTCTCTCTGATGTAGGATAAGTTTGAATTTTCGGCAAATTTCTGAGAATTTTTTTTTCTTTTAACTGACACAAAATTGTGATGTAATATGTATATAAATTAAAGTAAGCCTGACAATATTGTATCTATATTTGTTTATAGGCGGGAGCATTCCATGTTTTTTGTGGTTTTTGCGACCACAAACCTTGCAAGCTGATGTGCTGGAGAATCGTACATCCTTCTTGGTTGATAATTGACCAGCGAACTGACCTTTGGACCGCAAATGGTGTGACGTCTGCGCTGGCTTATTATTGCCCCTTAGCCCTGTGGAATGACTTCGCCTCTGGTTTCCCCTAGCATAAAGAAGTTCTGACTCCTGTTTGACTAAAACTTCATTGTTGTAGGTTCTTACTGCAGATTTTGCTGCGGCAATATCAATCATATCTACAAATTTGGTAGACTTCTTTTCTTCCATGAGTCTATCTTGCACTGGCCCAGGATTGAACCCCACTACAAACATGTCACGCAACACTAACTCTAGTTGTCCAGCTTCAAAGTCACAAGGTGAAGCTAAGCTGCGTAACCGGGCTGCCCACTCGCGAGAGTTTTCGTTTTGAGTTTTCACAGCACGATAAAATTTGTATCTTGCAGCAAAAATTGAAGAAGGGGGCTTAAAATGTTCGGTGATTAATTTTACAAGCACATCGTACCCTTTTTTTTCTGGTTCCTCAGGTAAACATAGATCAAACATCAACTTGTAGGCATCTTCACTTCGTTAGCCGAAAAATAATTTTCAATTCGTCTTTTATATATTGACCAGTCGGAATTTAGAGGATCAAACTCGCGCAAATGTCCGACATTTTCGGTTGAGGTTGGCGTGGTAGCTGTCGCCATTGTCTTCAAAAAAACACCTCGAAAAACACTAATTACACTTAATCGACACAATCGTGGGTTTTTCAGATAAAATCAGAGTTTAATATGAAACCCGATTTTACGTTCTCGTCGCCACTGTAATAATAACTGGTTGTTAAAGTTGGACTAATTAGACAGCTATGTTAAAGTAGCGTCAGACATATTACAGCCACCTAGATTTTATCAAATAATAAAGATCTACTAAGATCAAATCATGTAAATGAAAATATCTAGAAAAATCTTTGTTCGAGGGGTAGGCAACCTTAACAGTATTTTGAAGAGACATGAATTCCCTATTGAATATCGGAATAATATACTGCAGGGTGTTCCATTTAAAATAAAAGGTGACCAATGTTCAATATTCATTTTGTCTCACCCTGTATAATTTTTTGGACCAAGTTTTAATTTGATTTAAAGTACAATAGTTAATTTAACTATATATTAGGCTATACCGGGTAAATTCCAATTTAGGTAGCTTTTATTTTAATTTAAAAATTGTTCTTTATTTCTAGAAAATGTTAAATATGTCAAAAACCTTACATTTTAGTCATATACTTCTCTTATAAAACTCACTTCTATTTTTCTCCCAGAATCCGAAAATCAATTAATATATAGGGTGTTCCGTTACAACAAACACAACTTTGATATGTAACGTTTTTTGGGAACACCCTGTAGAACTCTCTATATTTTAAAAAGTGGACTCTGGATTAACCTACATATGCTCACAACATTTCATTTCAATACAAACTGTCGTTCTCCTTGGCGCCTCCGCGGCGTATAGAGGCGTCACCCTGTATCTATTTAACTAACCGGAGAAATGTTTTCCACAATTGGCGTCCGTTTATATCCTCCAAACTCTATTACAGCTGGAACATTAGGTACGTTCCGATGAAAAATCATGTTTCTGTTAAGAAGTATCAAACTTACATTATTTTGTATGTCGCCTATATAAGGCACGTCGTTTCCATAATATTTTTTAATTTTTGCATCCAGTAAGGGTAGCGTAATATAATGACTATACAGTTTAGTAAATACCCACCAAAATAGAGACCAAGTTCTTTCGTACAACGAATCTAAGCTTCTAGTAAGAGGTAAGTCTAAGTCAGGAGCAATAACAGGATAACTAGGGTTTCCAACTGTGTCCAGCATAGGTATTTGAAGACCTACAGAACTGATTCCGATCATAGGACATTTAAATTTGTAGCCATACACGGCGAATCCTGGAAAAATCCATTCGATAACACACACGTCGAAAGTCTGGTGGTTACTCGTTAGCCTTTGAATCTCTTTAAAATTTGGAAATTCACTTAAGGCTACTCCAGCCCCTAAACTCAGGATCACTTGCCTGAAGATCATAGATATAAAGTTTGGTTTATTTAAAAACCATCGAAGCATAAATGCGTTGCTTTCCTGTTTCACGAGATCGTACATTATACTTATATTATAGTTTACTATGTTCGGTATGGATTCATTGTACACTGGATTCGGTGTTACTACGTGTATTTCATGTCCTTTTACAGCTAGCTCTTCTATCACGGACCGGTATACTTTTTGATGACTTATAGCAGGCAATGGACAGAAAAACAAAATTTTTGCACTGTAAGTTAACTTAACTAATACTAGAAACACTACAGCAGCTTTTCCAACAAGCATGACTTCAAACTTTAAAGAGATACAGCGAGTTGCTTGTTCTGAATTTCTTGAGTTACTGTTAAGTAGATAAGAAATATTATCAGAATAATCATTTATTTTGTGGGCTTAAGATAAAATAAGTACAAATAAATCCATTATCTACTCTGTTTCTTATTATTTAAATGATGTTGTTTTGGTTAGATTTTGAAAAATTATCTATTATTCAACTAGATTGTGTTAACTTATTTGAGTTTGGGAAAGTATACAGGATGTTTCAAAAAACATGTGCCATCTCCCATATGCCATCCTCACGTAAAAATAAGATTTATTTTTCATATCGACATAGGTCCGATTCTGCTTTGTTTTGTACATAGATTTAGGAAGAACAGATATCACATTATGCATTTTAACCCGATCAAACATTCGGAGGTTGACTACGTACTGTAAAAATCAACTGAGATAGAGAAGGCGACATTGCCACATATCAAATTTGCGCCTATCTACTTAGTTTGATTTGCAGAAAAGGTGACTTTAAAACCTCACCGGATATCAATAAATCTCAATTTCTTAATTAAATTAATAGTTTATTTTTAAAGAAGCATGCGTAATAATATGTTATTAACCAGAGGATATATGCGTTACTATTAAAAAGGACATGTTTACTGTTTAATGTGCTGAAACGTCTAGAACTATTGGCAACGTCGCTGCTAGTCTTCCATAATGAAATGAGCCGTCCGTCCCACCACCCCTCGCGACGGCCCTTGGTCCGTTATAGCGTACTACGTTTAGCTTACGATGTGTTTGAAGTCGGAATCAAGTCCGAAGTGAACTTTTCAGTAGTTTTTGTTTTTGTTTAATGTACTTTTGAATCTGCGAATTTTCAATATGGTACGACAGTGTCAAATGTGTGGACAAATAAGCTCAAATTACCCGAATTTGTCTTTTCACAGGTAGGTATTGTTTCCGCCGCGCCGTAATCGTACATAAGCGTCCCACAAGGGAGCCTCTCACAATTAAAATAATTTCTAATTATATTTGTTGAATTTTGATCTATTAAAACAAGAACGTAGTAGCCGGCAATTGAATTATAATTCGTCTCAATTACTACCTAACTGTTGTAGATCATAACAAATTTGAATATAAACGTTACATTTGAAACTTTATTATAAGCCAGAAAGTGATATTTTTTTCTTAAAATTGCGTCCTATTTTGGTCATTATATACGATATTCTAAAGGAATTTTGCTCAATAAATAAACAAAGGTGTTTACCCGACCTTTTTTACATTTTATTGCTTTATTATATCTGCCCCTTCGGCATTGTTTAGACAATTTTTTACCACCGTACAAATACATCTTCCTAGAGTTACTAATTAGTTATTACTAATTTTGAAAAGTTCTTTTTAAGATAAAAAAAGGTAAAACTAAAACCTAAATCATTTGAGATTAAACGGGAAGTTCTAAATAATGTTGCCTATTCTAAACAAGAAAAATTTATTTATAAGTTAAGTTTTATAACATTCCTAATTAAATTTGGGCGAAAAGAACATTTCTGTTTGCTGTAGGTAATTTTCTCAGGAAAATATTGTAATAAAAATGACTTTTTAAGTCAAAAAGTCAAAAGGATAAGTTATTCCAAAAGGACTGTCCTTTTCAAAAAAGGACAAGTGGCAACCCTAGGTATTTCTGGCATGGAAATTTAATGGCAAATCTACAACTTTGGTTGGAAAATATGTTCCGGCCACCTATATTTACAAAAATGTCTAAAATGTGCCTAAATGCCTCCATATTCTGAAAAAAAAAATTGAAAGAAAAGTCACCAACCACAAACCTAATATAGAACTGTTTCGGAAGCCTGAGTCACCCTGTAAATATTCAAAAGTAACTGAAAGTTTATATAGAAGTAACTGAAAGTTTAAATTGAAAATCGACGTTGGAGTGATTTTCGAAAACTACTAACGTTTCAAGATAAGTATATGTGGGATATTAATTGTATTATTATATTAGACCTTATAACAAAACTCATCTGACGAAAAAGTGTTAATGTAGTATATTAATATGGTGTAAAAATTTTACTAATTACTTTACTTTTACTTTACTAATTAAATTCGTTCCAAAAAACGATACGCCACTGGCCATTAGAACAATCCCAAATGCGCCTAGATGCCGGTGTCGGAAATTTTAGACTTCACTGTCTCTTCTGTCCTTGTTTGACACATTGGAATGTTTGATACACTACCAACGAGTATTTATGAGTGAGATGTTCGGTCTATCTTTATAATATATAATGTGTTCTTTTTTTATAAATTGGATAAAAAAGGTATAATTTTTTGTAAAAAGATCACATTATATATTATTGGATCAATTTATAAAAAAAGAACACATTATATATTATTGGATCGACAACAATAAAAAAAAATTATATCTTTATAATGTCTTTGGTTTTGTAGCTGCAGAGTGTTAAAGCCTAATAATCTTTCGATTTATTATAATTTTCTTCCAAGTACTTTTAGCGATTCGAGTGAAATTTTGAGGGTAAAAGTTACTAAAAATGCTAAAAAGTTACTAAAGCTAAAAAATTGTCGACATATTCACCAGAGACGTGCATATGGGTTATCACTGGAACATATTTCTAAAAAAAAACATATACGCCACTGACTTCTTTTTCTCTTGTTAGCGAAATACCGTAAGCAGTTTAATGCCGATTAAAAGTTGTCTCTTGATATTTTGTCGAATTCGGCCTCCTTGATGAGATAAACGCAATTTTATTAATTTGCCGTGATCCAAGTCTAATAGCAATCTTCAAAAATTTTTATTATTTTATTTTTATTAATGGTAATAATATTTAAAAATAAATTGTGTAAAATCGTTTATTTCTGGAGCTTACTCAACCGGGTCTCACAATGCAAATGGGCTCTTTCGCTATATTTTGGAGTTCGCATAATTGTATAAAGCAATTATTTCTAAAATTTTCTGTTATCTCACTTTCGAAAAACTTGAAGTCGTTCTTAAGAAAATAAATAAAAACAAAAAAGCTCAGAATAAAAATCCGCACTTTATTTTTAATACGTCACACCTGGCATGGTGAAAAGCGGCAACACCGCCGGGCCACCGTGCTGACGTTAACCATTTCGACGTCAACTTTAGGAAGGTTATCAGATGACGCCTTTTTGAATCCAGGTTCTGGTACGACCATGATGGAACAAATTATCAAAAAATAACAATTTAAAACTTGCTATTTGATTACAAGCTTTCACAAACGGAGTAAACAAAAAATTTAACCTCAAATTTATTATTCAACATGCACGTCAAATCAAATCGCAATGTTGCCAGTAGTTGGCTGTCGCACGAGCACGCAATGCAATGTGATTGGGCGTATTTTCCATACGTCATCAATTGGCACTTTAAAATTATTCCAAATTAAAGCAATTTTGCGGGCCTATAAAAAAATTATTCAATGTCATGGAACTATTTTTTTTGGATAAATATACTGAAAATAGTCTTCTATTTCAGATTTTGTCCTTGAATGGTGTATTTCATTTTTTGGGAAAGAGCTCATTCACCTCAAATATCCATTTAGTTGGTTATTGGCAAGCACTCTCTCATTGTACATGAAAATAACAAAACATACATTTACTGATCTGGATAAAATTGATAGTCCAATAGTAAAACTCACCCGGGGGTACTCCGCCCCCTAGCCACTGACATCACTGACATTCTATTCAATATATCCCCATTCCATATCTTCCAACTAATTCAAATATTATTCGAATCTATTGGTTAATAATCTTCAACAACTAGCTAGTGTCACCTGAAATAGTATAGGGGCTTCCTCCGGACGCAAATCTGCCGTTAAAAAGATTCGCATCCCAATCGATGAGGCTAATTGCGGTACCTCACTACCCCAACGCCCCATCGATCGTGTCAATCGAGAAGACAAGGGAGACCTCAAACTCCCAAGACCAACCTCGACGGCAAGAGGTTTTCTTCTCAATGGTCAAAAGACCTGTTGCCTTACAATCAACGACATGCAACCAGGGAGAATGGTCAAAAGACCCGTTGCCTTACAGTCAAACGACATGCAACCAGGGAGGCGACAAAACACAGCACTACAGCCGGCCGACCCGTCTACTACTGACCCGCCGGCAAGCTAAAGCCGGGTCCACATATGTAGCACTCTATTGTATCAGGATCATGTATCACGTATCAAGAGCTTGTATCGTAAGTATGGACGTTTATTTGGGCTGTGTCGACAGAATGTGCATATTGTGCCAAAGTAAGCGTACATACTTATAAAATTCATACCAAATCAGCGTACAAGCGTGCGTATCAGTATATGTGGACGGTACAAGAAACCTCCTTGTATCATGTTCATCAATTCTCATTTATATTATTAAGACGGAACCCTCGATGCCCCTTTGATGATCAAAGAAAAACCGCGATACCGTATCTGATGCCAATCCGAATTTTGGGCGCGTATCTTAACACTGCGTAGCGGATACACGTATCACGATCTGTCATTTGGACGTGTTTTGATACGGTATAACGATACAATAAACTTGATACGCCGTGACCCGTCTTGAGGCGGTTTTTCTCCGATCATCAAAGGGGCATCGAGGGTTCCGTCCTGATAATATAAACGAGAATTGATGAACATGATACGACGATACAAGGTGATTTGTTGTACCGTCCACATACACTGATACGCACGCTTGTACGCTGATACGTATGAATTTTATAAGTATGGACGCTTACTTTGGCACGATAATATGCATTTTCAGTCGACACAGCCCAAATAAACGTCCATACTTACGATACAAGCTCTTGATACGTGATACATGATCCTGATACAATAGAGTGCTACATATGTGGACCCGGCTTTACATCACAATAATTTTACCTGATCACAAATATTCACATCGCTTGCCAATGAATCATACTATTTTCTCTAATCGACTTTAAAATAGAGTGTTTTAGCATTACTAGATAAATAAATAGAGAGTTTCCGAAGGAATGCATATTCTTTATTAGAATAGTGAATAAATAAAAGCATTATTATAACGAAC